GAAATACCCGTAACAGTTGCCAAGGATATGCAACGACGTCATGTTCAAAAACGGGCTTTGATGGTCAACTTTGACGTCGTGTGTACAAAAATTGGCTGAAGCTATTGGAATAAAATCAACGGAATCAAATCAGAAATATGGTCATATTTCTGCATGCCAATTTTCAAGACGCTACTCGAAAGTTCGCAAAGTGTCGCGTTCTACCTTAATCACGCGAAACATACTGGATTCGACGTCGTAATATAGTTGAGAAAGGAATATTAATTCCGCAACAAAGACTAACTTTTCTCATTATTTATTTTAGCAAACTACCGATATTATTTGTACAATATTCAATTCCCTGAGAATCCCAATGTAATTAATTTGTGCAAATATAACAACCTTGAGACATATTTCATCAATATTATGAAAATCAATATTATGAAATTATTATCTCTGCTAGCCTTCAAAATGTTAATTATTATGTGTATTAGTTGATTGAGGAATTTATAAGGTGTCAAAAGTGAAGATACAATATTCACTTTCGGCCCATTGTTATATCACTTGAACAACTCGCACGGGTCAGACAGAGAAAAACAAGAATGATTTTAAAAAAAATAGTTTGTCACTCGAGGCTCTAAACATGTACGATATTAGACCATATTTTGTAAGCCAAATTACTATCTTCTGTTCAATGTGTTTTCAAGTAATGCTCTTTTAAATATGTCATACAATAACAAAATGACAAAAGGAGCTATACGAGTAGAGTATATAAATTTCACTGTCTTTAAGAGAAATATATCAAATAATTTTCTTCTTAAGTGAACCAATAGCTGGATGAAACATTTTAGCATGTCTTCATCAATAGGTTTTATGTTAATTGTGTACGTAGATTACTTATCTACAGATGATTGTTATATTAAATGTAAACCTCCAAATTGACATTAACTGCTTCTAAAGCTGCTTGCAACTGTTGCGCTTATTTGTTTTTCTTTAGAATAATGAAAAAAATGTTATAGATTATACTGTAACACGAATGATTTATTTGATACTCTGGTACATATGTTGTTCTATTCTTATTTCATTCCTCAATATATTTATCATTGTCTAAGTCATATATTTATTTTTGTATAAATATATCTTGTTATATAATCTTTGTGACATTTTTATAGAGCTTACTCAACTTTGCATGAATATGATTTTGAGTGTAGTGAACACAACAAAACGACAATATATATCAAATCTTACTGCGGTGGAATTGTAAGGTCTGATTCTTATATTTGTGTAAAGGCATAAAGTATCTTTATTACATCATATTACAGAAAGAAATAATATTATCTTCACTTAACGAATCCTCCGTGCTTTATTGTATGATATTAATTCAGAACAAGTTGTTATCTTATACAAAATGTATATATACATGAAATAATTTTACATGGTTTGAACATTTATACGATCACAGTATCTAATGTCTTTTGCCTTAAATTAATAATGAAGACTAACAATTCAAGCAAATGTGAAGTAAAAGTGTATCTTGCATATAGATGTAATAAACAGGTATACACACATGTATAAATTATCCCTCCTCATAAATGTTAAAACTTTTTGGTTATTACATTTTCTACTAAAATATTTACCATGGTAAGAATACTTTTTATAAAGTTGAATAAAAAGTGGAATATATTTTTACAGTATTTCGTTTGGAAGACTTGGCAAAGCAAACACAATCTATTGTTTATCCCTATCTTTGTTTAATGGATTTTTGTAGTTGAAATATTTCCCTGCCATATTTTGCAGGGATCATTGTTAAAATATAACATAATAAATAATAGTATTTTTGTACCAATACAGTCTTTGTTACATATTTGGTGGAGAGTCAGAAAATATGAGGATTTTGTAATTGATATGGGTAAGACTTTATTAATTTAGAAAAAATAATCTACTGAATTATTACGCTGACTAGTTGACGATATACCTGCTTAATTTTGATTAGATGTTTCAACTTTCTGTCCCATGTAACAGTGAAATGTCATTTAAACGGGGTAAATTCTCGTCGGCATGGTATCATTTGATAAGTTATGCCACTTATAGATTCCTTAGTTTTATCCTCGGTCTTTAAAACACTATTTGCAGTTGAATAGGTGTTTTATAGCTTACTATAATGCATTGTTTCATTCAGTTTGGTTGTAAAATGAATGAGATATTTCAATTCGAAAAACTTACGCTGACTAATCCACTGACTATGTGGTACATCAGACAAAATTGAAATTTGAAGGTACATTAACCTTTTCCCTTATATAAGCGTGTTTCGACGGCTTTTTGCCCTCCCCCTTTTTTTTGAGGCCTCAAACAGTGAAAAAATGCCCTAATTAGACCCCAAACACTGGTTTTCGTTTGAGAAATGTTGTTAAAAAAGTGACCAACTTTTCGGCGCCGTCCCCCATCTAAATGTTACATCAGGGGGTTGCCAGAAGGGGGTGTGCCAAGAAAATTTTGGAAATGTGACAGGCTAAAAATGGCCTCAGGTCGATCTTAGGGTAACTAGTAACCGACGCTGAAAAGGCATATTCATTGAGAAGTTGCAGCACTTTGAAATCAGTTTTTATGGAAAAAAAACCAATGCAAAATAGTAATTTTTGGCAATTTTGAGACGTCCCCCGTTGCCATGGTAACAGGAAATTTAAGATTGAGCATGCTGTTACAGAGGCTATGGCGTAGTCAACATTTGTGCCAAGTTTCATCAGTATTGAAGCATTTTTCATAGTTTCATAGCAGTTTGAACTTGTAAAAGGAGGCTTTTCAATGAAAACGGCCATTTTTCGTAATATGCTCATGGGGTAAAAGGTTAAATGTCGCATTAGGCTTGATATAGCTTCAACGCGCCTTAAGCAGCGTGCCTAAAAAGTCCTGAAAACATAAAGACTGATTGATTGTTTCTAACATACTGATAGACTGATAGGTGATGAAACTTGAGTGCATATGTTTGAGCCTCAAAGAAGGACCGATAACAGTGATTGCGAAAAGATAAAAAACGGTCCTGCATTGCCAAAAGGACCATGCGGTTTTCTTTAATCCCAATTGACCAGTCGTTCAAGTTCCCTGTCCATCTGGTCACACAGTCACTTTTCTACACGAATTATGAACTGAAAAAAGTGAACGCATTTTACAATACAAGGCGTTCACGGATGGTCAGTTCAGTTTTACATGACAATGCCTCCTCTCACAAAAGCGAGACTGTCAAGTCTTCTTTGGCATCTGAAATTGTTAAAGTTGTAAACCATCGGCATTTATCTATTGACTTAAGTGCCTGTGGCTTCTTTCTATTTCCCAGACCAATGAAAATTCTTTCTGATAAAAGATATACGTCCAGCAGTTCTTTGGCCAGCGCAATTTTTCAGTGTCTCCGACATACGTATTCCAAAAGAATATTATTTTTTAGCATTTTGAAATTGGAGAGAGAGATTACAAAAATGCGTTTCGGTAGAATGGGTTTAAAATAGATTTCTTTTTATAAAAGTAGGCACAAAATTTGAACCCAGTGACAAAATTTATTGAATGACCTTCGTATTTATTTGAATGCAACTAAATAATCACTGCAAAGATTTCAACGAAAAAAAAGAATATACTTAGTAGTCTATCACTGCAATCATACTTACCGAATATCAGAAGTAGAAAGATAGAATTATGGTAGGCTAAAAGTTGTATATGCATTTAAGTTGAATGAAATATGCCAGATAAAATAGATAATTACGAAAGTTTTCACGACCTTTCTAACAAGAAATAAAGAAATTGTTTCATTTTTGTTACGAAAACAGTTCAAAGCATAAGAAACTTCTTGTAAAGTGAAAAATATTCCAAAGTGGAAGATGAAGACTTGGAAATATGTTAGAAATCGGCTGAGAAAGTCAAAGAAAGACAAGAAGGCTTTTTAGAAAGAATACGCTTTCAAAACTGGTATTAGTTACTACTAAAAAGTGTTAAAATAAGATCACGACGAGCTAGAAAATGATAAGAAGCAAATCATTAGAGGCAACATAGCAATAACGTTGAAAACTTACTCGAAGGGCCTTCACAGTTGGTTTATACAGAATTTATTTTTAGTTCGATTGTGTAGGAAGCTATAAGCTTATAGACACACTTTCGAATCCGTTCCTGGAACCAACCAGTACTGAGCAATGAGTGTGAAGTTTCTTGCTCAAGGAAACAACGACTTGCCCCCTTCATAGTTTGATTACACGGGAAATGCAGCACTTACTCATGATAAAGACAAAAACATTGATGACGAAATTGGTTGTGAGTTAGATAATGAAGTTGAAGCACAGCACGAGGAGTAAAGGTATGTTACGAATATAAAGACCAAGTAAGATTATGAGTAAAAAGAACTCAATGAACCATCATCATTTCCTACATTCAAGAAAAATATTTTGACAAATTTTTTAAAGTCTTATTGAGTGAATTTGAAGAAAATATATTTTAGTATGAATGTTGAATCGATTTATTATACAAACAAATAGCTTAATGCATACTATTTTTTTGTTTCAGTTTGCTTGACGTATGTTTTTCAAAGGCGTGGGTAATGTTGTAAAAATGAAAAGTTATTATTCTTGGGCGATAAAAAACTAAAAAGGAGAATAAGGTAATAAACAGTAATTCCTGCGATATTAAAACGTATGTTAATCATAATTTATACGTCAAATAAAAGACAAGGAAGTCTTGAGGAAAATTACATCTTAATCTTTAAATTGACATGGTGGTAGACTAGAAGGTAGTAATTTGTCACTAATCAAATAATGAACAAGAACGGCAGCCAGAGGAACATAAATATTATTTAGAAATCAGCTCGATGCACAATACTGTACAGAATTTAGTGACAAAGTCATAAAGTTTTGTCACACATGTATGAAGATTTTGCATGCGTTTTTATTATTTATTTTATTTATTTTGCACGCCTGAATAATACTTATATGTATAATTTGCAGTTCAGCAAAACAGTATCTATCTCGTATATATGTAGTCACGCACCACAAATCATATAAGCAGAATTTACTTAAGGTTCATTCCAGCTTACAAACATTTTGTCGCAGGGTGATATTTGTTATTCTCGGGTATGTTTTTTTCTTTTCATTTATGAAATTACGATGCATACCTTCTTTTCAGTGTCCTTTTATCTACGTTTGCTAGAAAAGCCTTAATTATCATTATTATTTAGAAACGTGTATTAATTATGTTGTACAATGCAAATTAAAGACAAATGTAAAGCTTTAATATCAAATCGATAAGGCTTGAAATACACCAGTCTTTCTACACCAGTCTTTCTTTCATAATATTAGTATCTCTATAAGACATTTTATTTATTTGGAAAATAAACTGATTTATAACTTATTTTAAAAGGAAGAGTCTAAAAAAAGCAACAAACTATTCTATTATTCTAATTCAAAAATACATAAAAATAAATAAATTGATAAATAAATAAATTAATTAATTAATAAATTAATAATTTAATAAATTAATTAATTAATTAATTACATTCATTCATTCATTCATTCATTCATTCATTCATTAACAATCAATGGTCGGGGATTGTAGAAATTTTCATAATGGAAATAAATGATATAAAGAATCAACAATGAATGGGGAAAAAAAACTGCACGACGAGTTTTGCATTAAAATCAGTTTCTCAGAAATTGTATTGCAGTAAAATTTTCCTTTTCACCAGTTTTATATTTTTTATAAAATATAGCTGGAATATCAGTCACCTACATGTAATTTAGCTGGAAGCCAGTATGAACAATATTTCCGAAACTTGTTCCATGGATCATTGCAAGATTTCCTAAATAGGGCAAAATGATTTTGTTTCACCACGAAGGAGTAAACTGACCACAACGTGTTCTCGACATGGTGCCACACAACGAAGGGAACGATATACATGTAGTTACTCATCTCATCTCTTTACCAAAGCGTATACCTTCTCCCTAGCAGCTGTCCTGCGAAATGCGCATAAGACAGTATGTTCAAACCCGAAAACGTTAAAACGTTAAAAACGTTAGGGTTACACTGGCAAATCTTCTGTTGTTATGTAGAACGCGACACTTTGCGAACTTTCGAGTAGCGTCTTGAAAATTGGCCTGCAAAATATTGACCATATTTCTAATTGGATTTCGTTGATTTTATTTCAATAGTTTCAGCCAATTTTTGTACACATGACGTCAAAGTTGACCATCAAAGCCCGTTTTTGAACATGACGTCGTTGCGTATCATTGGCAACTGTTACGGGTAATTTCAACGCCATTGGCGGACAAAATATCTAAAATCTTACAGCATTCGACAGAAATTATCATTTCCTTTAAGCTGATATAAAATTTATTGTTTTACGCCGAAAAAATGTTTGAGAAATGGAAAGAAAAATTGTCAATTTTGTGTAAAATGTGACGTTCAGTTTAGTCGCAATTTTCGGCTTTAAAGTGTCTTATTAAAAAATTCCTGAATAAATTTTTTGATTTTTTTCTTTTGAACATCCTTTAAAATATATACTTAGTCAAAATAATTAAAAAAATTAGGGGGTCACCGACTCAAATTTTTCGGTACACGAGACTTTATTTCCCCCACCCCGTGAGTAATTTTGTAACGAAATTCGACGTATTCAGATACGTTTGAGACTTCAAAGTGCGGCAATAATGTTCAGCTTTTTCAGGAGAATTGTTCTAGAGTTTAACTTATACATATAAAATAACAACAACAGTGTTCCATTACAAATTCTTAAAATTTAAAATGAGACCTGACGATAAAAAAGCATACATATTTATATTTAAAATTTGATATTTTGCTTATTAGCTTAAAATTTAGGCGTTTGATATTTTGCTTATTCGCTTAAAATACGCCATCATTTCCTACGAGCACGTCACAATTTCTGAGCAAAGACTGGAACCCAGACTAGTAAAGTCTAAATACAGGTACATTTCAATATAACATGTTACTTGAGCAAAAAGGAACTGCCAGCAGTTTTACGAAACTTGCAAGATATGTAACAAAAATTGTCTAGATTTGAAGAATTTCTTTTAGACTACGTATTAATTCATGATTGAATTTCCCGTAAATATTGATAATATTGCACTTCGACCAAGCCCATGATAGTTAATTAGTACATTTTGCATTACCCAAACTATGAGTGATATACTGTGAGTGATACATATTTCATTTCAACTATTAATAACCAGAATTTGAATTTCACTTGTTATCAAAAACTATCGCAACAATTTGACAGGGTATATGCTAAATAATTGGCGAAATATTGACAAATTAAAATATACGGTTCATAAATGAAATTTAGTCAATTATATTAGGATGAAGCAACATTAGATCAGTGGGTGTTGGCTTACAGATGTAGCACGTTCGATTCTACAAGTAAATAAACATCTTTAATACAAAAATTCTCTCGTTTTGGTTACCATTTTAGAACATCATAATGTTAAAAATGACGATTAATTGAGGATTCACTATAAACGCTGTATTAAAAACATAACTATCAAATCGGCCTTTGCAAATATTCATTATTCACTATATACACTGTAAATTTATGGTAGAATTTATTTTGAACAGGAAAATTTAGAAACAGTACTTTAAACATGAAATATAATGAAACGCTGTAAATACACGTCTGCGGATGTTTAGCAGAACATATACGCGAACCGGCGGTCCTGAGATAGATACTGCACATAGGAGTGTTGCGTTGTAAATCTTTATACAAAATAAAGATATTTCAATATATATTGTCATTTTTTCTGTCTGTACATACCACGGGCACTGTAGAGGATCTGCCGATGTTTTATATGTTCTGTTCACCGACCATTTAATCAAAATGCAAACTGACATGTTAATAAAACCGGGAAATATTACATTTTACTCAAAGTTTTACTATTTAATGTTATTCTGACAAATGTCAGATCAGACTATTTTTTTTCCTCTTGTAGAAAATGGGTAATTCTGAAGTACATCTTTATTCTCTGTCTTATTTACAAATCTGTATTAACATGAATAAAAAAAAATCATATTTTGGTAATATCTGACCGTGTAATTAAAAAGAATACGTGTTTTAGTAAATACGAACTTCATTCAAAGTTCCTGCATATTACGAGTGTACGGATCACGGTATATTAGTCATATACGTATTGCATTATATACGGTCCCGTACATCTAAGTATTCAGATTTCACTTATTTTTTACCTGTCTATCTATAATATACGGAATTCCGTACCCTTTATTGTAACAATATATTTTCTGCAGTGGTCATAAAAGCGTAAAATGCCGTTAATAGCGGGATTTTGACACAGGGCGATCGTTTTAATAACATCAAAATATCAAACGCCCCGTGATAGCGTGACTTTTTATCCAAAGGGGTGGGGGAATAATGAGTCGGTGACCCCCTATTTTTTTTAGTTATTTTGACTAAGTATACATTTTAAAGGACGTTTAAAGAAAAAAATCAAAATTTATTTCAGGATTTTTTAATAAGCCGGTTTTAAGCCGAAAAAATGCGGCTAACTGAACGTCAAATTCTACACAAAATTTACAGTATTCTTTCCATTTTTCAAACATTTTAAGTCGTAAAACGATAAATTTTATATCAGCTTACAGGAAAAAATAATTTCCGTCGAATGCTTTAGAATTTTAGATATTTTGTCCGCCAAGGACGTTGAAATACCCGTAACAGTTGCCAAGGATATGCAACGACGTCATGTTCAAAAACGGGCTTTGATGGTCAACTTTGACGTCGTGTGTACAAAAATTGGCTGAAGCTATTGGAATAAAATCAACGGAATCAAATCAGAAATATGGTCATATTTCTGCATGCCAATTTTCAAGACGCTACTCGAAAGTTCGCAAAGTGTCGCGTTCTACCTTAATCACGCGAAACATACTGGATTCGCCGTCTTAATATATTTAAGCAAGGGATATTAATTCCACCACAAAGACTAACTTTTCTCATTATTTATCTTAACAAACTACCCATAATGTATGTACAATATTCTATTCCCCGAGAATCCCAATGTAATTAATTTGTGCAAATATAACAACCTTGAGACATTTTTCATCAGATATTTTCTTTTAAGTTGCACGCTGTTATGAATAAATACTTTTCTCATATGCAGCCAAAATATTTAATTCAGGTTAAAATGGTGAAGTTGTCAGTAAAATATCGTATCTTTCCTGTCAAAGTAGACGAATTCAACTTTTTATTTAGTATTTCATTAAACATTCTTCATGCCATATCTGGTGTCCATAAGAAATGGTAATTGCAATTAAAATTTCAGAAAAAGGTCATTAACTGCTTCGCTTTGTGCAACCATCTTTCAAAGCTGTACCATAATTTATAGATTCTATTCTAAGTTTAAAGCGTCAATTACATGATCACAGCTTATCTACTTTCACTAAAATTGTATGCAATCATTGCAATGTCTTTCTAAAAGGAGGTAACAATAAAAGTCGTTTAAAGAGAAGCTGTGATAGTTGTGGTCGATCAAATAGTTCTCCGGCTCTTGAACTTCACTTATGTATGCTTGACTTGACGTTGAAAGAGTCACCTAGATGTCGCTCAGATAACTAGTTTGTCAATTTTTTGCCGTCTGCTTTTCTTGCTTCATTGCATAAATATCTACTTAATTTGTAGATATCCTCAAAACTAATTTGTGATATCCTTATTTTTTGTTCGGTAGCAGGATGATTTAAATGTGCACGGTAAAGGACTGTTTTCAATTTTAATGTATTTGCTAATCTGCCAATCTATCACACTGTGCATTTAGTATAATGTCGACTGTTGGTACAAGTTAAGCGGGTTCGAAATCACGCGATCAGTTGAATTGCAGACGTCATGTTATTGTAGATAGCTAATTGCATTTTTGTTTGTTTTTTGTTAAAGTAAAATTGTGTTTTTATTTCATTAGGCATATGAACAGTTTCAGTGTTGTGTGCTGATTCTCTGCTACGATGTAATTAAAGGAGCTCCGCTGGGGTCTAAAAACCTAAAATCATAAAATCTTAATTTCTTACATAGATCAGTTAGGGCACTTAAACAGAACGATATTCTAAAGATAATTAAGAAATATTCAGAGAAATAAATTGTTAACGGTATTCTTGTACTATTCTAAGCCAGATTCGGGCGAAAAGCGTTGCCATGCTTTTCAGTTTTTGGTATTTTATACAATAAGAATACTCATTCTGATATAAAAAGAAATTAGCGAATGATCTGAAATTTTGCGCACAAGTTATTTGTCTAGAACATCAACAAATGAAACGTTAATCTCAAAAACTTATTTCAAGTCACGTCATGAAAAAAAAACCTCAGTGGAGCCGGTGAAGTATACATTGAACTACCGGCATTTCGTAAGCTTGCTAATGAAAAAGTAAAAGTTCGGGCAGTGTATAAAAGCAATGAGCTGCAAACGTATGCATGGAATCTGCTGACGTGCAGCGACAAAACTTATAATTCGTATTTCAGAAAACGCCAAGTATAATGTCAGTTACATGCAGTAGTTCATTTGTGTACACAACAAAAAGGGTTAGTACTTTAAAATACTAAGTACTAAATTTTTTTTTCATTTAAGTGTCTCTCTCAATGAATATGGCAAACAAGAAAAAGGTATGTGTGATCGGAGCAGGGCCAAGTGGAATGGCGGCTTTGTGGAACTTTTCAAAGCTGAAGAGTGGCAATGATGTTGACGTCGTATGCTACGAAAAACAGAAATCTTGGGGCGGCCTGTGGAACTATTCATGGAGAACAGGTTATTTTGTGTTGGCAGGCGGGCGGGCTATTAATGTAAAGAGAATTCTTCCTATCTGTATGCTTATGCATTTTGGTGGTTGCTGAATTATTTTCTTATTTCACAACAAAGCGTTGTCGCATAAATTATGCAAAGAGCTAAAAGTATTTAAAATGAAAAATGTATAAAATATATATGGACAAACAATATCCATTATGTAATTCTGAGGGTCATGCCTGATTATTGCCTTTGCACATATGTGCATGCCCGTAAATAACATACTTTTGGATATCAGTAAAAACCTCCCAATTTGAGCATTTCATAATCACTTGAATTCCCAAAGTCGCACCTTTTACTATTACGCCCTTCAGGCAGCCTTAGTAGCTCTACTGATTTTCTATCATAAATTTAATGCGATACTTTCTAAAATGATATTTCTGCCATGTATTTCAGGTACCGATGGTTACGGTGAACCATGTCATGCCGGTATGTACAAACACCTGTGGTCAAATGGTCCAAAAGAATGTCTAGAATTTCCTGATTATACATTTGAGAAACATTTTGGGAAGGCCATTCCCTCATATCCACCAAGACCTGTTATAAAGGATTATCTTGAGGGTATAAGCTCGAATTTAGATTACTTCATGCTTAATGTAATTTTTCGCGCTTCACAGGAATGAAAAATGTATCAAGAAGTCAAAAAAAGTGTTAATTAATGTTTCGTATCATGATATTTACTCACTTTTGTCGCAATATCATGTTTAAATGTAAAATATGACTGTGCTCTATGTTTAAATGTTGTTAAAATTTACTGTGCTCTATGTGGTCAAGAAATATTAACTTTAATAGTTATTGTTGCATGGACATAGATAATGATGTTAAATTGACAAACGTTTGGCACACCGTAAGCATAATTCAACTTGAAATAATTACACACTAGTCAAATATCTGCTCGAGCGTCTTTGAATTAATAGGGGTTTCAATAATATAAATCTTGTTTTACCTTGTTATTCCCTCACAATAAGATGATAACGGCTGCCAAAATACTTTAAGATATAGTCTTCAAGGGATTTCTTCTTATACTTTAAGCCAGTGCACTTCAAGAAATATAATACAAATTGTACTGTCACACTATCATATTTTATGCTTGCATCCGTAATTTGTAATTTTTAATTTTAGGCCGCTGGACAAGCAATGTAGATTTGAGACCATACATCAAATTCAACACAGTAGTGCGGCATGTTGAGTATAACGATTTAGACAAAAAGTTCATTGTAGAGATTACAAACCTCGAAACTGACCAATCATCAAAAGAAACATTTGATTATGTCATTGTTGCGACAGGGATTTTCAATGTTCCTAATGTCCCGGATTTACCCGGAATTGATACATTCGAAGGGACAATACAGCATGTACATAATTTTCGTGACGCTAAAGAATTCAAAGGCCAGCGTTTATTGATTGTTGGTGCCAGCTATTCGGCAGAAGATTTGGCGCTTCAATGTTTAAAATTCGGAGCAAAAAGTGTCGTATGCACATGGAGAACAAAACCGATGGGATTTAACTGGCCGAAAGGGATTGAAGAAAGACCATTGGTCCAGAAATTCGATGGCAATGTGGCATACTTTAAAGATGGTTCAAACGCGGAAATAGATGCTGTCATTTTCTGTACAGGTTACAAGTACTCGTTTCCGTTTATGGAAGGCAAGCTTCGTCTGCAATCGTCACTGTCCATGTTTCCGGACAATCTGTATAAGGGGTCGGTCTATTTGCTAGGCGGGAACAACCAATTATTCTACATGGGAATACAGGACCAGCTCTACTCATTTACAATGTTTGATGTTCAAGCTTTATGGATTTGCAAGTAAGAGGACAGCTTGACATAAAATGATATACAGAACAGAAACTTTATTACAGAACAGAAACTTTATTATAAAAAGCTCCTCACCATATTACATATACAAATTCAACATATAATACATAAATGACACATGACATCAATATATATAATTACAAAATAATGGTTTATGTGATGTGAGAATGTTTAATGAGATAAGAATTTACCAAACATTATCAATTTAAGCTACAATACATTTTCTTTTATGTTATGCCTATCAATAGAATACACTGTGACAAGTGAAGGGGAATAACTTAGGTAACTTTACATAACCAGTATTTTAACATTTACTTTCCCTTAATAAGTCATGATCAATATCAATAGAATTCATTTCTATATGAAAAATGAATACGTTTACTGATTTTGTACGTTTTTTATATAAAGAAAAGAAAAACCCACACAAGAAAAATAACCAAAACAAATAACACTAGACTTAATTATAAGGATTAGTTTTAGAAACTCATTCCTGATAATTGATATCGTCTGCCGTTTTACAAAAAAAGAGTTCTTTTTATTGTATTTTATTTCATTTATTTATTTAAGTTCAATACATAAGTTATCGACTACTCAAACGTGTTAAAGTTTACAATTACTACTTTGATTGGATAAAGTATTTTTAAAGAGGTGACAAAAACTTTTCTTGATTAAGGAAAAATTTTAATTGAAAATATAATTTGAATAAAGCAATTTGTTATTTTCTTTATATAACAGCTTTTTCGTCAGTGAACTTAAATGAAGGGGAAGAAAAATATATATCTAACAATAAATAATTAGTTCTCTTTGAATATCATCTTTTACCTCACAAGATTTAGTTCTTATATTTTGTAAGTAATAGCTGCTGGCTGAAAACGCGTGTTAAACTCGAATAATATTCGAAAATGTTTGTTAAATCTTGTGTTATAAATGGCCTTACAGATCCTGTTACACAATTTCTTATGGTTTTAAATCATAAATATGATGCCCAAATTACTCAAATTAAAATTTATCAATATTAAAGGTTTCAAAAAGCATTATTTGTAAAGACATTAACGAATTTAACATTTCATATAAATAAAGGGAGGTAATAAAAAAATATTTTCTATAAAGTTTAAGTCAAATTTTACAATAAGAAATGAATGCATATATTTTAATGATTACATATAATACGCACAAATATTTGCAGTACATATTTTACATATTTTTTTGATGTTTGAAAGTTGTTTTATTTGCATAATTATGTACATATACATGTATATAATTTCACTAAGTGTGGTTTACCACTTCTTCTCTCTTCCCCTCGGTACGTGTACGTCGTTGAGAAGACACAGGGCATCGGCAGATGATTGAAAGACCAATGCTACGTTTAAGGCGGCAAGTTCGCATGTTACGTGTAAGGCTCGGGGTTACGTATAAGGCGGCACGACTTAGCTTGCATGTACTTAACTACCGGTGTCCTGACTAAAGCCGAGGGGAGTGGCCCTACAAAGTAGGCGCTTGGGTCGACGAGGATGATGTGCTAAGGTGCGTGAGCCCTTAGCACGGTTAGACGGCAGGCCTTTTGCTGGCACAAACAGCCCTTTTTCAGGGCTACCCTTTCATATTGTCATGGGTTACTGTACATTTAGGTTCTCATTGACCGCCGTACAGTGACCTACTTTTGGCTCAAAATTCATATCTTTGGCTAATACTCCGTGGAAATTGCATGGAGGTAAATTATCACCACTTTGTGTTTCAAAATTAACTCTTTAAGGGCATGACTGGTGACATGTCCGGGGTCCGTACTCGACAGCGAAAGTGTGCCCTTACGGGCGGATGGACCCTCATTAAGCATATACTATAGCTAGATAGGTTTACCACTTTGATCACAACATACAGGATCTTTAAAGAACTCGACCTACTTCTAGACATTATATTAACGCCGACCTTTATATTTAGATAATTTCTTGTGAAAAGTTACTTTTTACAATAAACATTTTTTTTCTTTACAGATATATTCTCCGTAACATTTCCAATGAGCCCAAGTCACTCAGTGAAATGAAATCAAATGCTCAGAGATGGTGTCAGAATTGTTCCGAGTTGAAAAAATGTCACGATGAAATAGATTTCCAGACAAAGTTTATTGCTGATTTGAGCAAAGACGTAGGTTATTACCCGGATGCTACAAAGGCAAGAGAAATGTTCTATACCTGGGAGCATGATAAGGAGAAAAATATCGTCACATACAGAGATCAGTGTTTCACTTCTATCTACACGGGCACCAAATCACCCAGACCTACCGCTCCTTGGTGGCAGGCAAAGGATGATAGCATCAAAGCTTTTGTAAATAAAAAATGATGGGAACGCTCTAATGAACGATGCTTGATTATCCTTTATAATACTGGCGTTTAATCAGAGTATATTTCTGTTATGTAAATATCTTAAATGGAATTATGTATTTCTTCTCAAATATTATAAATATCAGCTGTTATGACAAATGTAAAGACTTTCTTTTACTATCAAGTCCGGGTAAAGACTGTATTTACAAGAAATAATATGGCAATTTATTTATTTATTTAGTATTGTATATGGATTCCTATATTTTCTATAGTTTGTATTGCTATGTGTAACTATATAGCTCATGTATAGCTCCAAATTAATCAGAGTAAGAGTTGATGTTAATTTGATTTCTGGTATAATTAGATTCAATAAATTTGATAAGTAAAACCCATCTTTGCATGCTTTTACTTCACCATGAATACTAAAATAGAAAAAAAAGAGAATCCCGAAAAATCGCCCAAAACAGGGCAAAATTGAAAATGTTGCAGGCTCGGTTTGATTAAACCTGTTCATGGACTAAGTGGAAAGTTCAAGCTACCGTCCACGCCCCCTAACACCGGCTTAAGCAGAAGTCAACATCTAAATGTAAAAAAATGGGAATATTTAAATAATATGCACTCTTTTAGAAAATAATCTTTCCAAAACTTTTATCTGACCAGACTAGTTTTATTCCAATGAATTGACCGAATAACAGATTAATGAAACGGTTTAAATGATTGTAATGTTATCCCGTAATCAAGTTAAAGCAACTGAGGCTGACAATCTTAAAGAGACCTTTTTTGATTCTCAAAGATATTTCAAAAACTCAGTAGGCGGTGTATTCAGTGTCTAGTAAGAACGCACTGGCAATGATCCATACTAATAACCTTTCTGAAATTATTATCACTGTTAGCCTTCAAAATGTTATTTATTATGTGTAGTAGTTGTCGTGAGGAATTTATAAGGTGTCAAAAGTGAAGATACAATATTCACTTTCGGCCCATTGCTATATCCTGAAGAATGTTTACTTGAACAACTCGCACTGGTCAGACCGAGGAAAACAAGAATGATTTTTAAAAAAATAATTTGTCACTCGAGGGTCTAAACATGTACGATATATGACCATTATCTGAAAGCCAAATTACTATCTTCTGTTCAATGTGTTTTCAAGTAATGCTCTTTTAAATCTGTCATACAATAACAAAATGACAAAAAGGAGCTGTACGAGTAGAGTATAAAAATTCACTGTCTTTAAGAGAAAGATATCAACTAACTTTCTTCTAAAGTGAACCAATAGCTGGATGAAACATTTTCACATGTCTTCATCAATAGGTTTTATGTTAATTTTGTACGTAGATTACTTATCTACAGAGGATTGTCTTCTTATATGTAAACCTCCAGATTGACATTTTCACTCACATTGTCATATTGCATTGTTACAAATTGCAAGCTCAATTATGACAATGAAAAACTAGATCAAATTGTGGATAAAAATGACAAAACAATAATGGCAAAAATACATATAAAAACATATAGATATTTGGTGAGACGCCATATACGACAAATTGGCCATACATGCAACTGAGCTCAACAAAGGTGCTACATTAAACCTGTGTTGTATCACTAAAGTAAAACATTGCATCAATTACATGCAGAGGAAATTTAAATACTAAGGTAAGAGTTCCTTAACTGCAGTTAATTGCTTTTTATAGTACAGAACAAGTTATTACAGTAGGTCGTATCTGTGCGTTTATGAAGTCACAAGTCACCGATCATACTATATTAGTACAACATCAAATCAGTAAATGCATTGCCGCAGGGTAATCTTTGTTATACTCAGGTATGCATTATTAAATGTTTTTGTTTTTTTACTAAATTACGCAGAAATTTGATTTAATAGTAGATAGAGCAAAATGTAGTAGATAATTGTTTATTATACAATACAATACAATTTAACAAAGAGTTTTGCGGCCGGCCCAATGGACCTATTAGTCACCTTTTATAATAAATTGCATTAATCATATAACTTTACATGAGATGACAGATAATATGAGGAAAATGGTTATGGTAAAACAACACCAAATTATAAATAGGAATATTGGAACCACCCAACTAGAAAATGACAAATAGATAAAACTAAAAATACCGCAATCACAACAATAATGTCGTGCTGGACGATCTTGAAGGATCGGAAATATAACATCTCTGATTGAATGTACCGGGCGATTTTTACAGCCCACGAACGGAACAAACAAGGCTGATGTGGTGATAGAATAGAGAAAATAAGAATTCCCAAATAATGAAATTGAAAAATTGCAGGGATTTGATTGATCGGTTTGATTGAGTCTGTTCATGGATTTTATTTTTTGAGTATTTGACCCTGAGAACCTCCTTATATTTCTCGGTTTGCTGGCATGTCTTTTTTTCGTCGTCTGACTGCAGTTTTTATGCATGTATAATTCCGCATTGATTAACAGTCTGAATTCACTAAGTATGCATTAAGTTTGCTTTACCGTGGTTAGGTATCATGTAGGATATTTGATCACCCTAAAGATCTACCTCATATTTATATATCCTAATAACTTACTGATAATGACATTGTTCAGTGGAGGGATGTAAACGGTAATGTTTTTTTTTATCAATGTTAAACAAGTCCGCATAGCTCATTCGGTTCGAGCGCGAGACTTTGCTCTCGATGTTGTGGGTTAAATTCTCGGGCCGACCAACTAAACTTACTTAACAGTCTTTTAGCGAGAATCAAGGTCTCGTGTATGAGTGCTTAAACAATTGGCACGTTAAAGAACCAGGAGAAACTTCTGGAACTGGGGCATCTTTCTCTATCTGTACATTGCAATATGCCCCAAAAACTAAAATTACTAATACTATTCTGGAGGACGCACACATATGTGAAACCGGTGATAAGTATGAATTAACTCAAATACACAAAAAATTCAATGTTAAAGTATTTAATACTGTGCTATTTGATTTTGCAAGTCCAACTTTAACTTCAAATTAATATTTTACAGGCAGAAAAATTAATAAGTAGATAGATGTCATTTTATTAAAAAAGTTGCAGACGCAAAATTAAGTTACATGTCATGATATTATTTTTTTTGCTTCAATAAAATTATGTCTTATGCTGATTTTCTACATTTACCGTCCATTATGTCAAGCATAATCATTAAGTCAATGGTATTCCATTAGCTTCCTCGTTAAAAAGTCCAAGTCCCTATTACATTCCAACACATGCGTGCGATTAGTGTCAAATTCATGCATACAACCTGTAGACGTGAGGCGACAAAACATGAAATTTTTATGTCATAAGTTGTTGGATTTTTGATGCCAAACATAAAGCGATACTACCCTAGAAATGAATGCCATTTTCATTTTACTAGTATAAAAATAATATGTAAGAAAAAATAGAGCTACATATACATTAAATGTCAAATTAAGTGAATATGGCAAACAAGAAAAGGGTATGTGAGATCGTAGCCCCAAAAACTAAAATTACTAATACTCTTCTGGAGGACGCGCACATATGTGAAATCGGTGATTATAATAAATTAACTCAAATACACAAAAAATTCAATGTTAAAGTATTTCATATATTCACATATACGAGTATAGGTGTTTCTTTGTTGAGCACGACATTATTGTTGTGTTTGTGGTATTTTTTTTAGTTTTATCTATTTGTCATTTTCTAGTTGTGTGGTTCCAATATTCCTACTTGAATAATGTTGAAACACCCTTTGGATATGGTGCTTGCTTTCATATGTGAAATGTGAACTTTGCAAAGTTGAAGAGTGATAATGACGTTGACGTCGTCTGCTACGACAAACAGAAACCTTATCTTACTTGGCGAGTAATGGCAGCATGGCTGGCAGACGGCAACAAAGGAGAAAAAAATGACTCCTCGTATCTATGTGCGCAGTTTAGTAGTTACAATGTAGGTTACAAATACTTACAAGTAGTTACAAATAACTGATGCATAATAGCGTATAATTAGGAATAAGTAGCTGTTAAGAGCCAATAAATTATATATTATTTCTGTGTTGTCGGACAAAAGATTTTGAGGTCGAACATCAGATTCAGCTTAGAAGTGCGGCATGTTGAGCACAACGAATGCTCATTGTATAAATCCCGAAATTCGAAACTGACCAATCCACAAAAGAAACATTTGATTATGTCATTGTTGCCATATGAATATTGAATGTTCCTAATGTCCCGGATGTTTCCGGACTTGACGAATTCGAAGGGAGAATACAGCATGCACATGATTTTCGGAACGCTACATAATTTAAAGGCCAGTGTTTATTGCTTATTGGTGCCAGCAATTCGGTAGAAGATTTGTAGCTTCAGTATTTGAAATCCGGAGCAAAAGAAAATGACATATGAAAATGAAGAACAAAACCGATTGTTTTGACTGGCCGAAAGGGATTGGAGAAAGAACATTTTTCTAGAAATTCGTCTTACTCTGTTCAGGTTACAAGTACTCGTTTCCGTTTACGGAAGACAAACTTCATCTGCAATCGTCAATTTCCTCTTTCCGGACAATGTTTATTAGTGATCGCCAGTATATTTGCTAGGCGGGAACAACAAATTACTTCACATTTCGATGTTTGGCAGCTTTAAATATATACACAGAAACTCATTCATGATACATGTATTTGATTTCGTCTGATGTCTTACAGTTACATTCTTACTTTATTATTGTCTTTTACTTCATTTATTAAGTTTTCCTTAATTTCAGCACATATGTTATCGCTTTTTCCAACGTATTGAATATTACTGTTATAACTTTGATTGGATAAAAAGTATTTTGAATGAAGAGACAATTCCGTTCTTCATGAAATGAAATTACTAATTTATAATATTATGTGAATAAACTCAATAAAGCAAATTGTATGCTTTATTTTCTTATATAGCATTTTTAACCTTGCATTGAAGTACTCGATCTATCTTCAGACATTATATTGACACCATCATAACTACAAATACTGTCATATTACTTCATATTAGATCATTTTTATAAATAAAAAAAACTTGATACGTTTTACAATAAACATCTGGATCTTTTTCTTTTCATATATATTATCAGTAAGTTTCCCTCTCAGTGAAATGAAATCAAACGCACACAAGTGGTGCCAGAAGCGTTCCGAGTTGAAAAATTGTCACGATGACATTGATTTCCAGACAGAGTTTATTGCTGATTTGAGTAAAGACGTAGGTTATTACCCGGATGCTACAAAGGCAAGAGAAATGTTCCATACCTGGGAGCATGATAAGGAGAAAAATATTTACACATTAAAAATAAATTTTCAAAACCTTTTCCTTTCTTCTTGGTAAAGGGTTAAACTTGGCCCGTTCTGTCAAACTTTCGACAAGAAAGTTCAATAGTTTAGTTTAGTTTGAACATCCCAAAATAATTTTATGCTTTAGAGGCACAGTATTGAAATATATGATGGTAATCGTTGATTTCGGTATATTCCGTCGGTTTCAGTCACGCAGGTTTACAAAACGGTATGACGTTAGGGGTCCGGAATCGTATTAGATACATTGATAGTTTATCGCACTGAAAGGCAATTAAACGTTTATTTTATATATCGTATGTAATGATTGGAATACATGTTTTTTCGATAGCACATAATAATTATGTACAACACTTTTACAGTAAAATTGCACTGTTTCACGAAATAATTAAAACATATATATTTTCATAGTCACTTTGCAAATACTAGTATTCGATGATCGGTAATTATTTGTCGGTAATTATCTGAATCTGAACTAGTAACCTATACGAATTTCAATGTATGGTACAACAGTATATGTATAAAGTACAATTACAAGAAGAATTACCAGCATAGCACTTGCCTTATCAGCCTCAGTGGCAAACATTACTCAACTCATTGTTCCTATTATTTTTATACTTGAACCATTAAACTTATAGTTTCTTATATTTATGATAACACAATCATTTTTCTATCAGGCGACTTGATGCTTTAGCATCAAAATTTCTACTTGTCTCTATATGTGACGATAATGATATAAAGTATGAAACTGATTAATGAAAAATAACTTATGTAATTATCTGTACAAAATTACAATGATTTGCATCTTATCAGTAACCATGCATACCTTTTGCCAACCACATGTCTTATCAGCAATCTGTTACTATTAATAGATTTTATAACGATATACAACATATATAAACATGTAGTCACGTGATTCTTACGAAAGACCAGGGAGAATTTGTTTATAATTAGATAAAATAATGTAATATAATAGGTCTCATAAGATATAAACAACCAGATAATTTTAAAGTGTCATTTCAAATATCATTCATGATTTATATATTATAAAATAGCAATGCTTGACACATAGAAAAAAGTAAAAGTAACCCTAATATTCAATGACTGATCCTTGGGGATACGTTATTGATTCATTTTATGAAAATTGTAATGTTGCTTTTTAAGATGTCAATATGTGTATATTTCATTTCACTGAGCAAAGTTATCATATGTTTGAATTTTTGAGATTACTGAAAAGTAATTGTGGTCTTTAATTGTACAATGATTGATATGTTTTCATTTTCAGATTTTAAGGGCTTCTCCTACCATAGGTATAATATTAAACTGTTACAAATATAATCGCCGGTTTCTACCGGCGACTAATCAGTGTTTCACTGAACTATCTTCACGGATTTGATATACCATATATCAGATTTGAGGCATCCGTGTTCCCCACAAAGCGAAAAGTCGAAAATTAACAAGCTAAAATGACAGTGGTGTGGGGGCGCGGGGAGAAAAGTCGATATTTAATTGTAATACGGCGGGGCCGCGAAACGAAATATTTATTATTTTTCGTACCCCGCCAAATTATTCATATAAAGATCGACTTTTCGCTCCGTGATACGCTATTTAGCGTGCTTTCGCTCCGCTCACCCGCTGTTTTATGCATTCATTAATCCTTGCTCCGCGCCCCCACTAATTAAGCTCCGTGACACGCTAATTAGCTTGTTTCGCCCCGCACCCACGGCATTTTAACTTGTTAATTTTGGCGGGGTCGCGAGGCGAAAACACATAATGGCACAAATCAGGCGCCATAAGTTAAAGTAGTATGTCTGTATCATAGAAAAAGTTTTTTGATCGACTACCCGCCGTGATTTTTAACTTATATTTTGGACATCAAATGGCTATTCATCTGTGTATTTAAAGTCATGCTTCACTGACACTCTATTAAAGCAGTAAGCATACTGTATACTTTTCGTAGGGGTGATATATGTTATACGCAGGTAAGTTTTTTTCTCTTTTTATTTGTTAAATTAGCTGCATATCTACGCAAGCATATTCAAATATTTATGCATACCTGTATACCCTTTTGTTTTACTTTAGATACGTGTTTAGTTATGTCATATATTAAAGCCCCATGTTCTAAGCAACTTGATTAGCGTGAGTTAGAAGCTAAGTTATTTGCATGTTAACATTGACCTACAAATGATAGACTGACCATCAGTTTATCTTAGTTTTGATAAGTATTTAAAAATATAGTGTAATAATATATTGTTTTTCTAAAAGTTAATCATTAGAGGGGTACCATACAGGGTAAATGAAATCGATAGAACATTTGTATACATAGAGCAAGTAATATACTTGGGTTTTCAGAAAGTTACTTCTTCTTATAATCAAAGTTAAAAATTGAAAATTGCTTTTTTCGTAACTTTAATTATGGTTCCAATTCAATGAATCATTTCTAAATTACTTTGTAGAAAGCTTTTTGTTTTCTTTACTTATCTTACATTAATTTTGGAACTTAAGTGCTAGAAGAATCGAGAAATCAAGACATTGGCATCTTCCTTGCAATGACAAAAATCTGCCTTCCTTTCAACTTGACTCTGCCAGGTTCCAATGTATGTTGTTACAATGTTAAAATGAGTCTCCATAATAGCCAGTGTAAAATATACTTTTTTAGTGTAAAATATATACTTTAGCTGGTATGCTATAGACTCATTTTAAGCTCATAGTTATATACAGGATATTTACAATAAGTGCGAATAATACCGATGTTTCAAGTTATAGAGAAACTTAATATGCTCTTGCTACACTTGTTAAATTTATATGATTATTTCAATAACTTGATGAGCAAAAACACGAGTTGTTGTTCAATAAAGTGTTAAGAAATCGAAGATAAGTTCATGACAAACATACTACATTCCCAATTGTGTGTAAGAAGATTTTTACCATTTGATCATTCAGTGCAACTCTGTAAAGGTGTTTCTTCATACCAAAATTGTATCATTCCCGGGTTTATTTTATTATTGTATCGCAAAGCTGTTTTTGTTGCAAATCTGGCAGTTTAGCGTTTACCACAAGAAAAACACTATATATAGATTATAATATGCTAGTGCAATAAAGTCAAAGTACTTTTGTTGTAAAACACGCTACTAAATGATGTTATCGCAACACGTTTTGCAACAAAATATTGCAGATCTCTATTTAATTCAGAAGACGTTGTAAAGAAATAGCAATAAACAAATGTCATCTTAACATGTTTGTACCATTGTTCAAACATTTTGTTGCATGTCAAAATTGCATGCGGAGTTTTATCATTCCTACGAATTTTTGCCAAAATTTTGTTTGAAGAAAATGTTGCAAAACTTGTTTATTGCTGCTAACACGTAACCCTTCCCATCCCAGTTCATGCGCAACATTTAAAACCTTGAGAATCCCATTTAAGTAATAAGTGCAACATAAATGACCTTGAAATATTTTACCGTTTCTTTCGTACTGACTTGTTTACTTGCTGTAATTTATAAATAAGTGCACTAATGTTGTAAAGATGTCAGTAGCAAATATCGTTTCGTTCCTTTCAAAGCAGACGATTTCAACATCCAGTGTCCATTACCGCTTTTGAGTGTTCCGTATCATTTTACTTCTTTTGCATAAGAAATGCATATATAAGGTTTCAAACAATATTTCAAAATAAACCCAAAAACATTTGTTAGGGCATTTACAGCACCGCTTTGTATAATAATCTGTCAAAGTTGTACCATAATTTATTTTTACTTGACAGTACCGTCCATGAACAGGCTCAATCAAACCGAGCCTGCAACATTTTCACTTTTGCCGTGTTGGGCTTTCTTTAGAGATTCTTATTTTCCCTATTTAATAGCCACATGAGCGTTGTTTGTGCCGTGTTGAGGCTGTAATAGGTCGCCCCGTACATTCAATCAGAGATGTTATATTTCCGATTCTTAAAGATCGTTCAGCACGACATTAGTGTTGAGCTTGTGGTAATTTAGTTCTTTCTTTTCGGCCATTTTTTTGGGTGGTTCCAGTATTCCTCAATTGAATACTGTTGAATCACCCTTAGGATATGTGGCCTGCTTTTTAAATTTGTCTTTTGACGTCTGATCTGTGATATGCAGGTTTCATAACCTCTGATCCCCTTTTAAAATTTCATTTTATTTAGTTCTGTCCATTGTTTTCTCGTTTAGGCACAAACACTTTTTTACTTGGGGACCATATGCCGCTTTTTCATGGAATGGCACTTACGTGTCACATTAAAGGTTCCATGGTAAACGCCATATGAACACATATTAAATACTAAATTGTTAAATTCTGCTTAAGCCTGTGCTAGGGGCGTGGACGGTAGTTTGGACTTGACAATATCGTCCATGAACAGGCCCAATCAAACCTGCAACATTTTCAATTTTGCCGTGTTGGGCTTTCTTTAGGGATTCTTATTTTCTCTATTTTTTATACATAATTGTTAATTAAAACCTTTGTAAGTTCTCTTAAATTATTAATTGACCAAATGCAATTTTAATATTATGAAAATTTCATTACAGCGTGTCGTTGAAATTCACAAAAAATTAAATAAATGAAGCTGTGTTTGTTTTGTTATACTAGTTAGCTATCCGTCTGTTTAACTTTGTGTACTTTATTTGACCTTGAGAATGAATCGGTTCGCTTGCTTGTCACACAGTTTTGTATGCATGACGTGTGTGTTTTTACAGTCTGCATTCACTAATAAACAAGTCTACCTCCTGTTATCGCAAGTAAGGTACAAGGCTCCCAAGTAAGTACAGTGATATGAAGTAACATGTACTTTTACTCGCAAGTCAGGGTACACATTGAATTATATAGGCTCACAAGACAGGCTACAGTGATTTTGTTTATATACTGTGATTATGCATTAATGATTTAGTTATAGTTTAAAGATCTACTTCATATGTAGATATCTTTAAATCAAACTTAAAATGATATTCATGATATGGTCGTAGCTGGATATTAAAGCTACAATCCCATAGATTGTAGTTTGGGCGTTTTTGAAATAAGATGTCATCAAAAGATTAAATTTCACCACAGACCGAGATAATTATGTTTCTCTTTTATTTGGCTTCTCTTATAGACAATCTTTTATTGTATAGATCTATTGTGCATCAATCGATTGTAGGATAAAAAGTAAGCAAGCACACAAGTGTTCCACCCGCAACCAACGTATCTACGTGCAAACAGTTTTACGGGTGTGTTTATAGTCAATAAATACAAAATAAAACGCTGCAATGGTTTAGAATTTCAACATAAAAAAATGAAAAACTTTACTTACATTTTTTTTCATCAGACAAGATGTGAATTAATCATCTCGTCCCATATAAATGTACGAGCCTGCTATGAAATTATATCTTTTGATGACATTTTATTTAAGGTGATTCCGCTTTGTCAGCCATGTTTGTTTTCACAAAGTCTGTCCAAAGTGAAAGTAGGCCAAATTCATATAACAACAAAGCTCACATTGTTATATGATGAGCCATTTGCAAGTACATTTCCAGTTCTATGTTTTAAAGACTATTTTAATTAAAAATAAAAATGAAAACAATAAGAAAATTTACCTTGAATGGGCTAAATTTCTGAAGACCAAAAACATTCTGTTGCAAAGTTTTATGCACATTTCATGAATGGCAAAATCCTTTTTAAAGTCTGTTTTAGTGCCTACAAAAGCTATTTTTTGCATAAAATACAAAAAACTTTAAAACACATAAATCTTAGGAAAGTAGTTTATCTGACCTTGAAAAAACATGGCCACCATGACATGTGTAAAAAAGTAGTACCATGAAAATAAACATCATTTACCTATTACTTGTGTACATGACACACAGACACACTTCACTGTTACACATAAAAAAGGTTAGATTTTAAAGTTTGATTGTGATTTCAATTTAATTGTAATTCATAAGGCTATAAATGATGATTGTTTTCTTGCACTACTTTTTTACAAAAAATAATGGAGGCCATGTGCTTAGAAGGACATGAGATACGGATTTGTTTGGAGTTAAGTTTTGAAAGATTTTTGTATTTGCTGCAAAAAATAGCTTTTGTAGGCACTAAAACAGACTTTAAAAAGGATTTTGCCATTCATGAAATGTGCATAAAACTTTGCAACAAAATGTTTTTGGTCTTCAGAAATGTGGCACATTCAAGGTAAATATTCTTATTGTTATCATTTTTATTTTTGTTTAAAATAGTCTTTAAAATATAGAACTGGAAGTGTACTTGCAAATGGCTCATCATATAACAATGTGAGCTTTGTTGTTATATGAATTTTGGCCTACTTTCACTTTGGACAGACTTTGTGAAAACAAACATGGCTGACAAAGCGGAATCACCTTAAAAAAAACTCCCGAACTACAATGTATGGGATAGTAGCTTTAACGGTAATAGTGTGTTTACAATGTATTTGATACTAGACAATTTGAGTTTTACTCATGCGTTAACTTAAATGAATTTTATATAGACGTCCTTTCGTTGAAAACATTGCAGGTGCAAAATTAAGTTATCGACATTTTTGTTTTGTTGCTCATTTATATCATTGGCCATAAGAACAGTGTTAGCGTAATATGCATATTTCTACCGTTACTGTGCGATAAGTCGATACATTTAGGACTGTTGTTATGTTATGGAGGACATATTACGCCAAAAATACACCATGCTTGGTGCCATCCTAACTTCATAATTTCCAAATATAACTTCCTTGTTTTCATCCTTACTTTTTACTTATTGCAACTTTACTAGTGATATTTTTTTAACTCTAAACATTCAAAAAGCCTACGACTATTGTTTTTTGTTTCAAGTTTTTTTTTTCTTTTTGATTATTTAACTTTGTTATGTCATGCCAAAATTTATCATGCTCTATGGCATCCTGACTTACTGGTTACAAAGTGCAAACTCTTTGATGATAACTTTCATCTAGAGACTTATACATAGTATGTATATGATACGTTATGTCACTTTATTTTATGTTAACTATGTTTTCTTTGCTTTTCAGTTATTAAACTTAGATTTTACAAAGATAGAATGCATGCTTGCTTGCAACATTGCATATATAATCTTTTGAAACATAAATAATAAATGAAATGTTATATGTTAAGCCTTACTCGTTATAAATTTTAAAAGCCAAAATTTCAAATCTTTAAATTTATGCAATTTAAATGGAAAGAAACAAACTAGAAATGATAGATTAGAAAAGTTACATTATTGTGCCTAGGACACGATGCTGAAATATTATATAGGTGGCGTTATTTTGCGTGCGATTGGTGCGTAAAATAGATGCCGCCAGCAATCATTTTAAACACTGTGGAGAGGAAAGTTTTTACGGTATTGGATGATTTAGTTTGACATATTTGGGGTAATTATTGGTTATTTCAATCTTTAGGTCCTTGCATCAAAGGGAAAGCACCGTGTTCAATTACTTCACGGGTATGGGCGGAAAATGACGGATAATATTACGATAAATCATGAGCAAACACGCCCCTTATATCAATTTGGACGATTGGTCTAATTTTCTAACCTACTTACAAAGATTTATCCAACTTATCGTGCTTTAATTCATTATCTCACTTTTTGGAGGCCTTTTAACGTTTCCGTGAAAACTTACGTAAGATAGAATTTAGCACTATGGAAGATAAATGTAGTAGAAAACGTTAAAGAAGTAGGCAATGACGAAATGAAATAAATAAAGGAAATATCTGAAAAGAAAAAAAACAGAGGGTTTTTTGTCTACAATTTTTGGAATTGAAAGGTATATCAAAGGAAGTTGTATTTTTTTTACTAGTTAAAGATGTAATTTAGCATCTACATTTTGGCAGGTGTATGCAAACTTTAATGATTAAGAAACAAAACTATTCGTAAGATTTTTGCATGTTGTTTAGAGTTAAAAGTTATCACTAGTATAATAAAAAATAAAAATCTCTAAAGAAAGTCCAAAACGGCAAAAATTGAAAAGGTTTGATAGAGCCTGTTCATAGACGGTACTGTCAAGTCCAAACTACCGTCCACGCCCACTAGCACCGGCTTAAGCAGAATTCATCATTTAAACATGATATGGCAAACTTTTGAATTCATAAACATCCGCAGATGTGTGCATACGGCGGTTTTTATGGAATCTTCAATGTGACTCTACTGTGCCATTCAAATAAAAGCCGTGTATGGTCCCAAGTAATAGAAAGTGTGTGATCTACACGAGAAAACAATCGGCGGAACTAAACAAAATGGAATTTTGAAAGGGGATCAGAAGCCTGCATATCACAGATTTGACGTCAAAAGTTAAAAGGCAGGCAACATTTCCTATGGGTGATTCAACATTATTCAAGTGGAAATAGTGGAACCACCCAAATCGAAAAAGCCAAATAGTTGAAACTAAATAATACCAAAAACACAACAGTAACGTCGTGTTGAACGACCTTTAAAGAATGTAAAAAGTTCGGATGTCAACAAGGAAGATTTAGAAAGTATAAAGTTAGGATGGCACCAAGCATGATGTATTTTTGGCGTAAAATGTCCTCCATAGTATGTCGTGAGGAGTTGAAGTCCCTGCAATTGTATTCCAATATAACGTAATGAATGTCAAATGTAAATGGAATCTGTAGGCGACAAAACATGAAATTCGTATTCTAAAAATTTGAGCACATTTTAAGCAGTATTACACTAGAAATGAATGTATCAAAAACTATACATATAACTTATATCTTTCCTTTCCTTTTAAGTGTCATTTTAATTGAATATGGCAAACAAGAAGAAGGTATGTGTGATTGGAGCAGGGCCATGTGGAATGGCGGCTTTGTTTAACTTTGCAAAGCTGAAGAGTGACAATGATGTTGAAGTTGTCTGCTACGAAAAACAGAAAAATTGGGGCGGCCTGTGGAACTATACATGGAGGACAGGTAATTTTGTTAATTATATCTTAATCAGGTCTTCCAAAGAAAAAAAAGGGTTATTTAATTTGGTGAGTGACGTCATGCGGGCGGAAGGGCAGACGACTACAAACGTTTAAATAGTGTGCGTATTTGTAAGTGCAGTTTCTTTATTATCTTGTAAAGTTCCACAACAAAATGCGTTCTCACCGGAATTGCGCATAAAACTCAAGCTGTTTAATTTTAAAAATATTAACATAACAGATGTACGAGTATAAAATAAGTATTGAATAATTTTAGGATAAACATACTTTATATTTGTTGTATTCTCAGAAGTCATGCATGGCAATTGCCTTGGCAAATATGTAACGGCACGTAAATATCTGACTTCGGGTTACAATAGAAACATCCTAATCTTGAAAATCAATAATCCTCTGAATCACTAAAAATCGCATTTTTACCATTACACCCCTCAAGCAAATATTGTTATTGAGTCCTTTTGTAACATTATCACGTCCAGTTGTTTGTTGACTGAACTGACATACTAGCGAACTTATAACTATTATATTATTACTATTTATTTCAGGTACCGATGGTTACGGTGAACCATGTCATGCCGGTATGTACAAACACCTGTGGTCAAATGGTCCAAAAGAATGTCTAGAATTTCCAGATTATACGTTTGAGAAACATTTTGGGAAGGCCATTCCCTCATTTCCTCCTAGACTTGTTCTAAAGGATTATCTTGAGGGTATTAAGCTGTTATTTTATGCTATACTTTATTATTTCAGCTTTATATTTATATAAACGGGTTGGAACTTTTTCAAATGAGTGATGCATGATAATAGCGCACAGTTTAAAATACTCGTACTTACCTGTCACTTGCTAATATGTATATGTATTTAATTCTAGGCCGCTGGACAAGCAATGTGGATCTGAAACCATACATAAGATTCAGCACAGTAGTGCGGCATGTTGAGTATAACGAAATGGACAAAAAGTTCAGGGTAGAGACCACAGATCTTGAAACTTACCAATCATCAAAAGAAACATTTGATTATGTCATTGTTGCGACAGGGATTTTCAATGTTCCTAATGTCCCGGATTTTCCCGGACTTGACGAATTCGAAGGGAGAGTACAGCATGCACATAATTTTCGTGACGCTAAAGAATTCAAAGGCCAGCGTTTATTGATTGTTGGTGCCAGCTATTCGGCAGAAGATTTGGCGCTTCAGTGTTTGAAATTCGGAGCAAAAAGTGTCGTATGCACATGGAGAACAAAACCGATGGGCTTTAACTGGCCGAAAGGGATTGAAGAAAGACCATTGGTCCAGAAATTCGAAGAAAAAACGGCACACTTTAAAGATGGCTCAAGCGCAGAAATAGACGCTGTCATCCTTTGCACAGGTTACAAATACTCGTTTCCATTTATGGATGGCAAACTTTGTCTGCAATCGTCACTATCCCTGTTTCCGGACAATCTGTATAAGGGGTCGGTCTATTTGCTAGGCGGAGATAACAAATTATTTTACATGGGAATACAGGACCAGTACTACACATTTACAATGTTTGATGTTCAAGCTTTATGGGTTTGCAAGTAAGCAGGAAGCTATATACACACAGATAATGATTTATGATTTACAAACGCGTTCTTTCTTTGTTATTGTCTTTTATTTCATTCTTAAGTTTTGCTGAATACAAACATGTATGTTATCGAATATTCAATCGTGTACGTTGATTATTACAAATACTCTTTTGAAAAGATATGATATTTTTTATAAGAGAGTAATGTTACGGTTCTGATCGAAATACCCTGTATCCGTCCCGAGTATACGCCCATGGGCGGGTATCCGAATGACAGATACGCCGATCCGATGCAAACACATGTCAAATAGTTTTCTTGCATTGTCTACTTAATTACTTTTAGCATATTTTAAGTTGTTTACCTCAGTACATTATTGTTCATGGGCATTTATATCATTTCATCCATTACTGTTTTCTTACAATGGCGTACAAATTTACAAGGTGAAATGACGTCTAGCTAGACACGAAGTGTAGTTCGTATATTGCGAATAAGCTGCTGAGCATGCTTATTAGACTGGAAATTATATGAGTTATTGTGTCCTGTGGTGGTATTTGTGACCTCTCACACATGTGCTAGCATTTCTCGACCTAACACGAGTTTTTTAATAAAACACACCAGATATTATACTAAGACCAACATAAGTCACTGTCTGATATAGCATGTCATAATTCATTATAATTCATAATACATTCGTAACAATTTTTCTTGTGAAAAGCTACTTTTTACAAAGAAAACTGTAAGCCTAATAAAATAAACGCTTTTTCTTTTCAGATATATTCTCGGAAAGATTGAGCCTAAATCACCTAGTGAAATGAAAGCAAACGCACACAAGTGGTGTCAGAAGAGGTCTGAGTTGAAAAATTGTCACGATGACATTGATTTCCAAACAGAGTTTATTGCTGATTTGAGCAAAGGCGTAGGTTATTTCCCGGATGCTACAAAGGCAAGAGAAATATTCCATACCTGGGAGCATGATAAGGAGAAAAATATCGTCACATACAGAGATCAATGTTTCACTTCTATCTTCACGGGCACCAAATCACCCGGGCATACCGCTCCTTGGTGGCAGGCCATGGATGATAGTATCAAAGCTTTTGTAAATACAAAATAATGGGAACACTTTTGTCAATGGTGATTGTTTATCCTTTGCAAAAAGAAATACATAAACAGAATTTCATAACTGTTTTATCAGTATCCTAAGGAAATAAAAAAAAAACTTAATCATTTATTGTAAATATCTGCAAAAATGAAAAATGTAAAACCAAAGCATGCTTATGACTGTGTCACTCCATTTACTTACAAATCGCTTTTGGTATGTTTTCTTAACCCATTACTTCATTAGCATTTTCTGAAAAATGATTGTTTTCATTGAAAAACTCCCGTTACAAGTTCAAATTGCTATAAAACCACATAAACTGCTTCAAAACTAATCAAATTTGGCACAAATCTTGACTGGAGCATTGCCTTTGTAACAACGTGCTCAGGCTTAAATTTCCTGTTACCATGGCAACGAGGTGACATCTCAAAGATGCCAAAAATCACTATTTTGCATTGGTTTTCCCTTCAAAATTGATTTCAAAGTGCTGCAACTTCTCAATGGGTTGAGATAGAGTCAAATCATTTTCAGTGTATATTACACTTTACCTTATGATCGATCTGGGGTCATTTTTAACCTCTCACAGGTCCAAAAGTTTCCTGGCGATACCCCTGATGTATCTTTTGGTTGGAGGGGACACCGAAAAAGTGGTCACTTTTTAACAACATTTCTCAAACGAAACATGTGTTTGGGGTCAAAACAGGATATTTTTTCACTATTTGAGGCCTTAAAGAGAGGGGGATCGGAGGTGCGTTGTTTCGCGTATATACGAGGTAAAGGGTTAACAAAAATGACGTTTGTATTATTGTATACAACTGCATTTGTTTAGATTAAATGGTCGCAATAGTGATTCCAAGGAAAAAAATGTTGTAAAATCTTTTATTAATTTCTTTATGTATTACCCATAATTGACATTCTCAAGTAAATCATAGTTAGGATTTGAATTGCGTTCCTTTCTTGTTTTATTGGGTAAAATGAATATGAGCCTAACTTTGCAGGATTTTATTACACCAGAAAGTCGCAAGAGTCCTAAAAGTAACATAGTTGCTTTAAATGAATTACTAAATGACAATGCATAATGTTTATAATGATATTAAATGTTATTTTCTCAAAATATTATTAGAAATTTTGTTGACGGAATTATTATGTGTTTTGTGGCGTAATAAGTAAAGCTCATACTTGTGGAGATGTGCCCAAGTTCGAAGCGAAATAAATACTTTTCTGTTTAATTCTGTAATAGGATCCGAAATGGAATATATTTTAGTTTTGGAGATTTGCTAAAATAAAAACAATATATTGTTTGTCCCCATCTTGGTTTAAAGGATATTGTAGTTGAAACATTTCCCCGTCAAACCTTGCAGATATCTTTCTTCAATACTTATATTTACACAGGAATGATTAATATTTCAACTTATATTTACATTTGAAAAAGTAGTATCAATAGCAGTATGGTTATCATCATTACATCATGCTTCATGTCAAGGCCGTGATCACCTCCGCAATAGCACAGCCGGTTAAGTGATAACCTAATAGATGCAAGGTCTGTGGTTCGATCCCTACTATTGCCATTGTTTAAGAGCTACTTTTTCTTTATTTTTGCAGTATGTTTTAATGGAAATGGACCAGTTATTGAAAAATTGTTTACACGGTTCATATGAAGCAACTTAAAAAAACACAGTTTTGTCTCTATTTGCATTGTGTTTTCCGCATTGAAATGACATCTGAATGAATTTTAAGTATTATTTATTAAAAAAGGGTAAATACTTTACAAAAATATGTGCAAAGTACATAAAACAAAACGGACAACATAAAAGCAATCATAATTTCAATAACATTGAAAATATGAATTGGAAAAAACATTAAACTTCGCGGTCTCGAATCTTACAACATTTAGGACTTTTAAAAATTATAAACCCGCTCAGTCTGATTATTTCTTGGACACACATTGAGATTAATTATATCTTACTGTGGACAAAGATAGATAGATTTATTTCGGAATGGAATATAATTATATACATGGACATTTAAACCAAATACTTAATATACATGAGAATAAATGAGCCATGGCATGAACACCAACACCAAGGATATCATAGAAAGACTTGCCTGATTGACAACAAAAACTAAATGATTCTAAAATGATCTGAACTAACGTGATCTATTTTTTTAAAATAGATAACCTGATCTTGACTCATATTCAATGAGTCGATGTAGTAATTGCAACAATTATCTTGCTTCCTTAAGCAAACATAGACTGGCTTTTAAAATTTTGTTAACAAATATGACGCGATGGAAAGCCCGAAATGTAAATATGAAAATTCCTATAAGTTTCACCTACAATGGGACTTTAAATATTTTTAATATGTTTGTTCATGTATAGGAAATCAGACATATTAACCTTTGTAAAGTAAGTATGGCGTATGTTCCCCAAATAAAAGAATACGTGTGTCCTAAACGAAAGAAACAATGGGCGGAACTAAATAAAATGGAATTTGAAAGGTGACCTGAGGTTATGAAACCTGCATATCACAGACAAGACGTCAAAAGACAATTTAAAAAGCAGGCAACATATCCTAATGTTGATTATACAGTATTCAAGTAGAAATGCTGGACCCAAGTTAGAAAAGGCCAAATAGAAGAAACTAAAAATACCAACTAACGTATACACAACAATAAAGTAGAGATAAACTGGTGAGAAAATTGCAAAAACAGAACCTTTATCAACTTTGTCATTTTTCACCTTCAAAGGAATTTCTTTAGGTATTTCATTTTGAAAAGTTTCAATTTTATAGCCAGTTATAATTAAAATATAATATAATAATTTATTTTTCCAACTGAACAAACTGTATTCAAGCTTGGTCGTTTGTGGCTGTAGCTGTTGCAGTTGCAGTTGGCACTGATCACCTAAAAGGTCTGAATCTTGACATAATCCTATTATACTGACCTTTTGCTTGTTAAGGCTGAGCCCTCAATGTGTACCTAGATGTGTAGCTTATCCTAGAAAACGAACTGTGTCTTTAATTTTGCTCCCATACAATCCGAATAAGGGACTGTGTTGGCCTAAGGACAATGTTCTTTTCACATGTCTTTACCTCTTTATTTATGTCATTCCCAAAAAGTTTAGTTGTTATCGGAATCTAGGTTTAAAAAGACTAGCACATTTTTAAGTAATGGTCGAATTGCATATCTTCTCCGAAGATATAGATAATTGGCGTCCGCGCCGAAGCGCGGCGCTCTTATGGAATGAGATCAGATTTTGTGAAAGGGCGACAGCAACTTCTCGAGCCTTTTAGTCGGTCATAATAAAAGTTGAAAATTCCGATCGGTATGAGGGTGCTTGATTATTAAATAAGAATGAAATGTCGCGATATGTTACAATGAATTTTCGCAATGCAAACATTTACAAATGAAATAACCTTTTCCGTCAATAAATCGCGCTCTTCGGGGTTTTTTATTTATCATTTTGTAGTACACAGTCGGTTATCATGGTATGTTATTGTTGTACATGTATCCTAGAATGATCAGTTGATGACCTAAATATTCCAAAAACCTATTTATAGATATATCTTTTTATCACTCCTATCGGTAAATGCCGGTCTCTCCCGGTCTATTTTGACCAGGATTTACTAGTGACCGGCGAATAGTACCACACGTTTATTGTCCGGTCTCTCCCGGTTTTGGAGTAGATGTTTGATATCGTTACAATTAGAAAAAAAACAACAATAGCATGTTTCATTTTATCTATATGAGATAAAAACAATAAATATGTACACGGATTTATATGTAATATAAATTCGTGATATGTACAATAATTGAGAAAAAGGTACATTTTTTATGGTATTAAAATGACATTATCAACTTTGAAACATTTTATTTAATTATTCAATTTGTTATCCGTGTTTAGTAAAGATGCCGAGGAATTATTCAAAGTTACAAATTAGATTTTATGAATTATTCAATTGATCGATAATTTAAAAAATGATAAAGAAAAATACAATGTACATGTACATGGTTTAAGAATAAACAATATTATATATTGAAAGATAAACCATAATTTACTGACTTTTTCCAGTTAAGCTTTGACTTATAATCGTCGGTCAATATGACAATTGAATTCTTAAAATTTATTTTACAATTTTAATAAAAAAGAGTAGTAAAAACTCAGTATTAAAATAGCACATAAAACACAAAAAGAATAAAAGAAAACAATATTCATAAAATTTGTATTTTTTTTTAATTAAAATTAATAGATATTACAATTATTGTATAATAAACAATTATGCTCAACATGATCAACATGGTAATATAACCAGTGTCATATTTTTACTAACTTAAAGTGTGAACAGATACCTTAAGGGGGTCTTCGCTAATAGCGATAACATGTACATAATAAGGGACAAATGTGTGGTACGTGTTGATCATGCGTTACACATATGGATTATAAATGATTGCATACATGTATATCCGTTGCTATTAATAACCACGATCATAAAGAAATAACAATCGCCTCGGTCAATATTAATTTTTTCAGTACATATCACATCATATTCAACAGCTAAAAAGTCCATATTTGTATAATATTCTAATCTCTAGCATGCTAATCAAAGTTCATAATGAACAATGTCTTTCGTCCGCTCATTCATAAGTGGTATACATTTCTGGTAGTTTATAAGAATATCTTGTCATCATATGTGTACTAGTTCATCTTCACTTGCTGCATTTCTTGCTTGGACGCCCTTTGATGCTTTGCATCAGTGCTTTTCTTGTATTATATTTGTCCTGAGACAGTTAATAAGTCGCACATTACACATATTCATTGTCAGAATATCTGGGAAAAAGGGATCCCTCGGAAGCAGCTAAAACAGCAACAACAAAATTACATTAACATTGCAGAATCAGCTTGATAAAGTCTGTACATAATAGATAATGAAAAGTGCTTGAGCGGTACTCAATTCTTAACACTTGAAAGTTCTGGACTCAATGATCCCAAAGAACATTATCTACGTCAACCTGAACAGTAATATTTGGTCAAACAACAGACGAATCTTTTTTGGCAAAATAATCATCATCATTATCAACAGGATTCGAGGCTAGTAATGTCCAAAGAGATGCAATATCAGTGGCAGACAACGTTGAATTCCCATGGGTACTAATTGTGCACCCCTGGTCGCCGATTTGTTTTTGTACTGCTATGAAAGAGACTTTATGTTGAGTCTCTCTGAAGAGAAACAACAAGATGTTATAGTCGCATTTAATAATACTTCCAGATACCTTGATGATATTTTTAATTGAGAAAATCCTTATTTTAATCAAATAGTGTCTGACATTTATCCGCATGAACTACAACTTAATAAAACGAACTCTTGAAATTTTAGTACATCATTTTCGATCTTCATATTACTATCAACAACAATTCTATTCACACGAAAATTTATGATAAAAGAGATGACTTTGACTTTTGTATAGTTAATTATCCACATTTGGATGGAGACGTATCCCATGCAACATCTTACGGGGTTTATGTTTCTCAGTTAATTAGATTCGCTAGAGCTTGTAGCAACGTAAAGGATTTCAACGAGCGGAATATTTTTATTACCAGTAAGCTTCTAAAACAGGGCTACCGCTATCATAAATTACGAAAATATTTTACTAAATTTTACAATCGTAACTTTGATTTAATTTCTAAATTCAATAGTGATTTAAAAACTCTTCTGCGACAAGGGATTAGCCAGCCTGGTTTTATGGCGATGTTGTCGCGAAGAACGCGATAATATTATTGTTTATTTTGTTTTTATCCGCCGGCTTGGCACTTAATTGTTGTGACCGCCGGGTATTTGTTGTAACCGCCGGTTTGTCACCGGTGGGTTTATGTTTAATTATATGTACATGATTTTCATGATTTTTACGTGCATTACGTGGTATATAAAAGGAAATGTTATCTTGT